GTCCAGATCACAGCAATTTGGGACCTGCTGGCCAGAAAGGAGACAAATGAAATTAGCGGCAGGGCTCCCTCTTGCAGGTGGCCCTGGCCGGTGGCTCTCTGGCTGAGGCTGCGGTTTTCCTCCCGTTTTCACTGGCAGACCCTTTACCCATTTCAAAGGGCGGCACGGCCCCTTCGGAAAACTTAGACAGGGGTCTGTGGACCACAGTCTGAAAACCACGGCGCTAAGGGGCAGAGCGGTGTGTCCTGAGACATGGGTAACTCAGTCCTAACCCTCCCTCCCACCGAACCCCTGACTCCCCGCCTGTTTCTCTTTGCCTCTGTCCCCCGTTAGGCTCATGAATAAGCTAGTGAAGGTCCCAGTCAGCCCTAGTTCCACCTTTCCCAATAGCAGCTCCTCTTTGTTTCCAGGCCAGCCCAGTGCAGTCTCTGGGGAGGGAGCAGGGTTTGTGCCTGGGAAGGGAGGTGCCCAAAGCAATGCAGAAGGGTTAAAAGGTCTCAGCGGGGGACCCCTGTTAGTCTGGACCTTTAAAAACAACGAGTCGTCCTGTGGCACCTTAGAGACTAACAAAAATCGATCTAGGATCACGAGCGTTCAGGTGAGTTGAGCAACAACAGGGGACCCTCGGAATAAGAAGGGAGAGGGAGAAAAAAAATTACCTGTCAATTCTAGTCCCGGGGCTAATTGGGTGGGCTGGCAGCGTCCCATACTTAGCTTTGATGTCAGTCGGGTGTTGCATGTAAGGTTGTATAATCCTTAATGGCTTTGTTCAGGCCCAGGGAAACAGTGTCAAATTTGAATATAAAGGTCAATTCTTTTCTTTCTTTTTCTTTTCTCTCTTTCTCCCTCTTGTTGGCTTGTGAAATTCCTTTGAAGAAGAATGGCTACTTTTATACCCATTAACGAGGGCCCAGGCAGGTTCAAATATTCCCCTACAGCAGGGTGCAAAATAATTTTTGATGGGGGGTGGGGCACTCCAAGATATTGGTAAGTGGTCAATGACCGCACTTTTCTATGGAGGGAGTGTGGGGTCTGGGATGGAGATTGGGGGCAGAAGGGAGCTCAGGGTAAGGGACTGGGGTGCAGGAGAGGGTGAGGGGTCTGCAAGGGAGTGTGGTGAAGGAGGGGTTCACAGCATGCAAAGCTTCCCCCTACCCCCAGCACAGGGAGGTAGATGGAGCAGCCAGCTGCTCTGAACCCTGGGGCTGCTCCCTGCCTGTGGGTCCAGTGGGGTGGGCCACTGGCCGGATAGAAAGGCTTGGCGGCCGGATCCGGCCCCTGGGCCATGTCTTAGCCACCCTTGCCCTACGAGTTTCTGTGTGTTCCCATTTCTGGTATCTGTTTTGTGTCCATTATCCCTTTCAGACTGTCCAGTTTGTATTGCAGCTGCTTGTGCTGCTGGCAGCCAGGAGAGGACTCGGAGCCCCGGGTGCCACAGGAGCAGAAGGAGAATCCATCAGCGTTTTCGGGGCTCTGACACAGAGGGGCAGGTTCTGGATCCCTCCAGTAGAGTGCAGCGGCGGCATGTGCGCTGGCAGGCCGGAGCTCCGCAATCTTAGGCCTGCACTGCATGCGTGTAACATACATCGTACCCGCAGAGCATTGTCACCCCGGGCCAATGTCGCAGGGCGCCTGTGCTGCCCCACTCCACAGCAGCAGCATCCGCCTTGCGGCGCGGCTCTGCACCATCCTCTCACCTTGTAAAAAGTTAGGTTCCCAAGAGGGTGGCAAAGAGGACCTGGCTGACAGACCCCAAATGGCTCACGGGGGGCTGGCAGGCTGAGTCCACCGCCAGCCTGAGACCGCTCGTCCTTAAAAAATGAGGTTTACGCGGGTTTTTTCCGAAAAAGAGGTTTTTTTCTGGAAAAAAACCATGTCCAGACTACTTTCACTTTCGAAAGCTCCTCTTTCCAAAGATATGCAAATTCTGTGGAATTTGCACATCCTCTTTCGAAACACCCCCCCCCCCAGTTAAAACCATGTCCAGACTACTTTCACTTTCGAAAGCTCCTCTTTCCAAAGATATGCAAATTCTGTGGAATTTGCACATCCTCTTTCGAAACACCCCCCCCCCCAGTTTAGACGTACCGGGGGCT